ATACTCGGAGCTTCAACGATGCTATCAGGGAGGCTGTTCCACATGTCGGTGACTCGAAGCGAGAAGAAATGTTGTCGCATGGATGTGTTCCAACGCTGTTTTTTTAGTTTATAGCCGTGGCCCCTGGTGTTGGTTCTTGTTTCAACGCTGTTTTTTTAGTTTATAGCCGTGGCCCCTGGTGTTGGTTCTTGTTTCAAATTTCAGTAATCCTTCTGGGACCTTGTATTGTAGCATGGACGCCAGGTATTGATCAAGTATTGTAGCATGGACGCCAGATATTGTCGTGATTTTAACTTCCAATTAGCTGGTCATTGTACATGTGTTTGCGTGACGCTGCACCCGCATTTTGCCACATCGTGTCCCTAGAAATACAAAAAAGTTATTCGAATACTTAATATAAAAATGGTACCCACTTGCATGAAACATGATTCTTATGAAATGGGGTAAATCGTGTATTCAATATATGTTGAATTATTTCTCGAATTGAAAACGCAAAATTAAATGTATCTCCATATCAAGGCTTTTAATTGACGGTGTGGGTTTTTTCTTCCCACTTAATTGTATCACAGAAACGAATTATGTTAACTAACTCTTATACCGATCTCGCAAACTAATGAACAGTTGAGCTTCTTTACAACGTACCTCCATTGGGTGACGTGATCTGGTGGGAACACCTCCTCCGTGCCTGAGACCGTCAGACGTGGTGGATCTAAGTGAAGTACCAAAGCGCAATTAAGTCGACTTCAGCACACTTGATTATGATGAGTACCAAAGAAGTAGTATGATGAGTAAACTGACCAAATACATTCATGAAGTGATCGAGTAGGCTCAAGGTTAGTCTAGAGTAGACTTTGCAAATATTTTGATTTTATCGGGTTTAATCGCCTATTCTCAAGCGAATTCCATGCATCAATCGCTCTATATGAACATTTCTAAATCGTTCTTATAATTATGAATGTTTAATAGCTTAATTTACTCATATTAAAATCAGATAATGAAATTTCGATGCTTCTGTTAATGATTTTTTGATGCCAATGACTACGTTTGTTTGTTCTTTTATACGAAGGAAAATCTCCCTTATGCGGGAATAATAAATTCCATACAAATTTGCTTAGATGAGTCGCGTAGCGCCAAATGTTGTTCTTGTAAGGGCATATGTGCGTGATGGTTCACGATTACGTTTGAGGTTTAGCTCTGTGCGCCAGTTTCTGATCAGCATCGGCGAGGAGGCCGGGCGGTTAAGCACAGCAGAATTGTAGCAGTGAGTTGCGAGTTCGAGACCGCAAAATGCTGTGGATGTTCTACGATGTTAAGAATCGGCGACAGGCCTACGGCCTACTAAACGCTGAAACCGCTATTATAGGTTACACGTATGTGCTGAACCTGAATTCGAACTGATAGAATTTGGACATTCTCTGTCAATTAATGTTGATTGCGCTTTTCAACGGATGGGGAGATTTTTTGGCGAGGGATTGTCGTTATAGAAGCATCGATATTTCTCGACTTGCAATTCTAGAAGTTGAACTTGTCGTTGTAATTACCAATCCTGGTAGTGGCGACAAAGTAAGGGAGTTGTGATGAGGCACTAAGGCCACGGGTAGTTTCAAGACCTTAATCTCGTAGAAGTTAATCTAATTATTGCTCGCGACACTTACGTGCTTCTACACACTGACAATCATGGTTGAACCATATGGTGACAATAGTGGGGAGCGCAGACGTGCACCACCAATTTTGTGCATCAAGAAGCCCTGAATCGAACGCCTTGGATCTCTCCGGACCTACACCAATCAGCCGTGCACCACTCGGCTTTGTCCTCTTCCGGCCTTGACCACCACCTGCCGTGCACCACCAGGCCGCGGATCGAATATGACTTCCAGGCATCGTTAAATTACGTAATTTTACGTTCACCGCATCTAAGGTTAGGTTTCAGATAGCATAGTTCTGTTTCAAAATTTATCGTCCTTCGACAAGCGGCCGTTCGACCGAGGGCTGGTTCGACCCACGGCCTAGATACGGACGGCTTGAAGTGTTGAAGGCTACGTTCAGTAGGTGATCAGTGATCACCTACTCCTCAGCAATTTGGTTTGAATACCCTCTCATCTCAGCGCAAGATCTCCTCAGCCTTCTGCAAGTTATTCACTTCGCTTGCCCCCCACTCCCAGAGCCCCTCCACCCGCCGCCTCATACGTAGAATCCGGGCGAAACATCCCCTTGACAGGGACTTCTCCCCGTTCACGCCCGACATGGTCAAGCTCGCCATCGCGGCTGCCAAGAACTCCTCCGCTCGAGGCCCGGACGGGCTCACGGTCCTGCATTTTAAGCACCTCGGACCACGCGGTATCCAATTCCTCACCCGCATTTTTATTATTTCCGTCGCCACAGCCTCTATTCCATCCATTTGGAAAAATTCAATAATTATTCCAATCCTCAAACCGGGCAAACCCGGTAACCAGGGCTCTTCATACCGCCCTATCTCCCTCCTCTGCCCTGCAGCCAAGATCCTAGAGCGACTTGTGCTCCCTTACATCTCGGGTTCTCTCACTACCGTCCCCTCGCAACATGGCTTCAAGCCGGGACACTCCACTGTCACCGCCCTCCTCCCGCTCGCGCATCAGATCACGACGGGCTTTAACTCGCGGCGCCCTCCAGCCCGCACAGTCGCCGCAGCGGTCGACCTCTCGAAGGCATTCGACTGTGTCGACCACCCCCTCCTCCTGAGCATGATCGCGGCCTCGGACCTAAATCACAACCTGGTCCGCTGGCTGTGCTGCTTCCTCCGAGGCAGGCAGGCATCTTGCCTCTATGTCAGGTCCCAATCGCCTTTCAGAGCCATCCACTCAGGCGTTCCCAAGGGCTCGGTGATCTCGCCAGCCCTCTTTAATCACTTCATTTCCGACATCCCAGTGCCTACCCCCAATATTGCCTCATACGCGGACGACCTTACCATCTTCGTGTCGTCCCCGAGACTCAACGCTGCGGAGGCCGAGCTTACCTCGCTCCTTCGTAACGTCTCAAACTGGTCGGCAGTCAAGAAACTGGCCGTGGCTCCTGGCAAGTCCTCGGTCACGCTCTTCACCCCAGATACGCACCAATCCCGATACCACCCAGCTGCCACCATCTGCAACGGCATCATCCCACTGGACAAAACCCCCAAAATCCTAGGCGTCACCTGGGATACACACTTCACTTTCTCCCCTCATGCAAGAGCCACAGCCACGAAAGCGACGGGTTCTCTCCGCATATTAAAAGCCCTTGCTGGCACCAACTGGGGCTTCTCCAAGGAGGACATAGTTGCCACCTACCGTGCCATCACGCGCCCAATTCTCAATTACGCGGCCCCCATCTGGTACCCTGTTGCCTCCCATTCAGCAGTTGCCAGCCTGCAGACTATTCAGAATACCGCATTGAGACTAGCCACCGGCTGCCTCAAAATGGCCCGATCTCCCATCTGCACCAGGAGACCGGCGTCCGCCCTTTGCCCGAGCACCTGGACCTGGCCTGCGCCCAGTTCCTCGCCAGCGCCCTCCAGCCCTCCCACGCCTCCTTTCGCATGGTCTCTGCCCCTCTGGGTGACCGCCCTATGAAAGTCTCGATACAGTCAAGGTTCGGCCATCTTGTCACACCACTCTTGACAAATGGTATCCTGCCTGCCGGGAGATACGGAGAAGCCAAGCGGTCTCTCCGCAGAGAGATTACCTCCCGCGTGGCGGCGACTGCCGCCATAAACGCTGTCCTTGCTGCCCCGCCACCGCCGATTGCTTCAGCGGAGACCTCACTCCCTCGCCCCTACCGCTCAGCGCTATCCCAGCTCCGCTCGGGATACTGCAGCTCCCTGGCGTCCTATTCCGCCAGGATCGGACGCTCCCCTAGCTCCACCTGCCCGGAGTGCGGGGATACCCTCCAATCTGTTCAGCACCTCTTCGTCTGCCCCGCCTTCCCCACGTCTCTCAGCGTCTCCTCACTGTGGGACAACCCTGTGGAGGCAGCGGCTTTCCTGGCCACCCTCCCTGCCTTCGTCCACCTCCCTCCTCTTCCGGTTCCGGTCCCCCGCCCGCCACCAGAGCCTCCCCCCCGGCGAGCGTGACGGTCGCAACCAACAACAACAAGGCTACGTTCCGGAAGGCAGGAATCATGATGGTCCATTACATCCAGGGCAGTGGTGGTCTTCGGCAGGCGACCCACAATAGTGGTAGGGTTGCCAGATGGTCTTTTTTCCGGACAAATTCCGCGATTTGGTATTTTTTTCAATTGCATTGGCCGGCCAAAGTTTATAATTGCAGTACTTCCTCATTTAATTTTAAAAAGTGTGAGAAAAATGAAGGTGGAATTTTTACACAGTAACCTACATATATATACTAGTACATTTTGAGTTAAAGGCCTTTTTAAACTTTTTTGTTTGCGGACTTGGCTGTTTGTCAGGCCATCTGGCAATCCTGAATAGTGACAGCCAGTATACTTTTCAAATGCAAGCTGCACCTCACCGTCAGCACGCAGCTTCGTTGCAAACAAATGAATTAACTCGTCGAACGTTCTCGCTCTCGTGAATACACTCGATTATTATACAGGTAATTTCGTTGTTTGGTCGTCATATTCTTTCAAATGAAGTAACACGAGTTATTCATGTTGCTTCTTCAATTCCCACATAGTTTTCGATTATCTTCAGATTTTTCCATCTTCACTATCAGATGGAAAAAGTAGATTAAATCTTTGGCGATTATTGAGAAGAAGGAAATATTTTTAGGTTATTTAATTTTTTTAATTATTCGTCAAAAAACGAGAATGGGACAGTTTTCACTCTATTCCATGCTGTTTCTGCATTCATGTTCTATATTTGTATCCATAAAATTATTTGCTCGCAACTGTTCTTACGATTATAAAAATGCATTACGATTACGATTATATAAATGACCAAGCATTATGGTGAGCAGACGAACTGGAGTTATTCACATGTAACAATGATGTAGCGCGCTCGAGTTAGTTTGAGGAAAAAGATTCACAAGTCAACTCTACACATTTATGGTCATGAATACAACACAAGAGATTGAGACATTTACAGCCAATCATATTTTTGTTCTACGTAGATAATTCGGACAATTTAGAAGTGGCATGCGGATGCTATGAGATAAAACAGATACCGAAAAAGTCACGAACAAAATAACTAAGCTGGAAATATATGTACAATATCATATCTAGGTCCAGTGATCGCACATTTAAAGAAACGTTCTGCTCAGGACAAAGTCATTTTGTCAACGCTTTCCGTCTTTGCTTTTTGGTTCAAACGCCGATCGACTTTTTGGTTAGAAATTGTCAACGATTTACATCTTTGCTTTTTTGTTCATACGCCGATCGACTTTTTGGTTTCGAATTATCCGACAAAACTGCACAAGCATCAGAGCAGTCGCAGCCATCAGTCGTGTTGCTGTCGTTAAGCTCAGGGATGTTCTTTATAATGAGGGTATCGTAAGTGGAGTCATTATCTGACAAGTCAACATCATAGTAGAAACACTCGTCTTTCGGAACAACGGTCTCGGTGCTATTCTGTTGGCGCTTGGCAGAAGCGCTGGGGTTTTTCGTGGACTGGGTTGAGTGGTCCAGGCTAGCCTCCTCCCCAGCTTTGAAGACAATCGCATTCCTACTACTGGATTCAGACTCTAGACCGGAGTGTCGACTTGGAGAAGTTGCTATTTTTGAGGCACCAGTGGCATGTTCATTACTCAGTACGTAGGAGCCTTCGGCAGAGTTGTGGATGTGATCAAAGGCTTGGTTTTCTTGGATGACCCATTTTTTCTTTGATAAGCTCCGTGAGAAAGCAGATAGCTCGAAGCGAAGAGATTCAGTTGGTTTTGTGGAAGCTTTCGATGATAGGCAATAATTGCCCCCAGAAAGAATGTCAGAGGAGTTATCTGAATTCGGTATATTACCGAGAGATTTACTGCCGCCTTTCCTGTCTTGCCATTCTTTGCGCAAACGTGAAAGAATTGATTGAGATTCTTCGAGGTCAACCTCGGTGTGGAAAGATGACCTTAGTTTCGCTGACTTTCGTTTGAGGAGGCTGGCTCCAGAGCTGGCCCTGCGAACAAGATTAGCAGCGTTCTTGCGGTATGTTGACCGGGCATTGTTACACGTTTTACACATAGTGTTCGGAGGGTGGTTTGTTTGACATATTTCAGTGGGTGTTACGGTCAAAAAAGACTTAGGAACCGAATTACCGTTCACGTAATCAGCACTTGATTGGTTGCTAAGGTTAATCGAATTGGTTGTACGTATATTTTCAGGAACATGACTTGAACTATTTAGTTGTCTACTAATGTGGCCTGAGTCAACGATCTCATGATGACTGTGGTATGGAGGTGGACTACCTTTCGGAACCGACAAAGGAACATTTTCAAATGCTGCACCATTTGCATCATTTGAAATACGATGCAAGTACGGCGCTTCGCACAGATGAGCATCGGAAACGCCAGGCGGAAGAGAAGGAGGAGTTAGACGCACTCGTGGCACGTTAAGCTGAGGTGTCGTCAAATGGATTTGGTTTGAGTCTTGAAGAACCAAGCTATGGTGATGGCTCCTGATGTCTGTTGGACTACCAGCCATGTTGGTAGAAAATCCATGTGGATACGGTTCCGTAGTTTTCTCATTCTTTGCATAAAGTGGATGACGTTCCGACTGTATTTCGTAGCTTTCGACAGACCCGGCACCGATTTTCTTCCCTTGGTGATAGTCGTACTTGGGGGGTTCCATGTACTCCGGCACTTCAAGTTCTGGAATCGCAGGAGACTGGCCGGACCTTCGGTCTGCGCTACAGTCCCCAGGACAGAAGTTGACATAGTCATGACAGCCGATATTCACCGCCAACTCACGACGATTCAAGATATATTTCGGTTCAGTTTTCGACGTATTTTTGAAGTAAAAATTTGTCGTTTCATTAATTTCTCTACGTTCTTGATCAAGTTGAGATTCGTCGCTACATTTTAAAGACGTTACCTGTTCATGTTTCAAAGGATAGCTAAGTCGCTTCGGGTTTACGTTCTTTCCTTGAGTTGCATCGCGGAATTTATTGAACTGTTTTGTTAAATACTGAGAGTAGGTAGTTTGGTCAATAGAACTTCTACTTCGTTCATTGAGTTCAGAAGCCTTCAATTTTATTCGGCTACTAGGATATTCAGGTTCGCAGGAGTAACGAAAATGTTCATTTCTAGGTAAAGAAAGTCGACTTTGGTCTCGTTGCAGGTTCATGACGCTCTCTCTAGTTTCGGATGCCGACGTTCTCGCGATATCATAATTCCCCGAAGCATTTAAGGGATAAGAAGTTGGTACATCCCTAGAAGTCGATGGCAAATATGAAGTTTTGCTGTCAGGGGAGAACGAAGTGTAGTTGCGTCTGGCGTGCGCCTCATTTTTGGCCTGGAGATGAAAGAGAGAGAGAAAGGAAATGATAGCGTAGTGGAAGAATAGGTTTGTTTCGAGACTAGGCTGCTGAGCTATATATATATATACAACATCTATGTAGTTAACACATATGATTACAACATAGATAAGTGGGTTTAAAAGAATGAGATTCCAGTTACGAACGATCGTAATAACAGGAGCGATATTTAACATAAAGAAGCAAACGAGGTAGAATACAACGGATGAACAATTTGAACATTCAATTTTAATTGATTGAAAAAGAGAAGTTTATACAGAACTGAAAAGATGATTCATAAGAGGCATATGAAAATTTGTTAGTACAACAAAATAAAAAAAAAACAAAATAGACTATGGTTATATTTTAATTTCTGTTACTTTTGGCCGTGCGAAACTCTAAACGATTTTTCTAAATTGATTTTCGTATTTTTGATGAGCAAGCAAAATTTCAAAATAACAGGACAATAAGTATAGCACGACCATTCAATGGAAGGCTTTCAGTGACATGTTTTTGCGTCACTGATGAGTTATGTGCAGAGCATGGCTCCCACAATGACAGGTTATGTGCAGAGCATGGCTCCCACAATGACAGGTTATGTGCAGAGCATGGCTCCCACAATAACAGGTTATGTGCAGGGAATGTAATCATACTAATCAACAACAAATCAATTAGGGATTATGAACAATTATTGAGCGAACATAATAGCATGGGAAGCAAAGCGTTAGCAATAGTCGTGCTCGAACATTTCTCCTAATAATTCATAGTTATTAATAATTAGTAATTAGTGTAATTTCCAGTATAATTAATGTACATAATTTATCATCTTATTTTAGTTTTTTTTGCAATTTAAGTTTTAATATCTTCGGCGTAAAATAATCGTTCCGTAGATTAAACTAGAAGTTTTTGAACGGTAGATGGCGCTGGTGACCGAGTCACTTTCATTGGCAATATTATTCTCCATATATGGACTTGCGGTGTTTTATTTTCAGGTATTTTAAGTTAACAGAGCAAAAACATAGATGAATTGATTATACGTCTTATCTCGCATCGTATTATGTCCCTAGGATCGCTAAATGGTTTTAGTTGCTGAAATTCTTTTCGTTTATAAACGCTAATATTTTTCTCGAAGACTCACAGAGGTACGCATCGGCTAGTGTCATACAGGAATTCCAGACACATTCTACACCCAATATCTAGCATGGCTTTTCTTTATTGTTTTTACGACAGTAGAAAGTGAAAGCATAATTACTGAGGCAAAGGGATTAGAGTTTACGACAGTAGAAAGTGAAAGCTTAATTACTGAGGCGAAGAGATAAGAGAAAACGATTTTTGGACAAAGTTTCGCTCATTTCGCCGAGTATAAGATAACGTCAAGTAAGAACTTGATGCTGAAATGAACGAAAATATTTGAACAATCTCAATGTATTTAAACATATGTTATATTATGAAAAACGAAGTATATTATAAATATGTTTGTTAATTAAGAACAATACTGATTAGCAGTACGTCGTTATATTGGCGCGTTTCTTGGGATGAGAAGACAAGTAATTATCTTGTATTACTTGTACTCACTGCTGAACACAAGTAATTATTTTGTATTATTTGTGTTCACTGTAGAACACAAGTAATTATTTTGTATTATTTTACTCACTGTAGAACACGAGTAATTATTTTGTATTATTTGTACTCACTGTAGAACACAAGTAATTACTTTGTATTACTTGTACTCACTGCAGAACACTAGTAATTATTTAATTATTTTGTATTACTTGTACTCACAGCAGCAGGATCGTCGCGCTCTGCAGCGCTGCCTTCTCGTGGCCGACGCTGGTCGCCGGTGTCGGCGCCGCAAGCCTCGTCCGCGGCCAGACTGCAGCGCAAAGATTAAGAATTCATATTTTAGACAGCGGATTGTTCAGACAATGTGAGCCAATACTTGCATTGATAAACAGTAGTTGATAAAACTTTATTCATCATGAGCGGTTCATAAGGCATGAGTAACGAAATGTACAGCATTATGTATCGATATTAATTTATAGTATCGATTAAATGTATCAATATTAAATTATAGTATTATTTATTACAGATTAAAATAAAACCGAAGAAAACATCAAAAGAAAAACTTAGTAAGATTCTTTCCGAAGAAAATACCGTCAAAATTAAATTAATGTCATGTAAATTGTAAATAAGCTTGCTGACTGCAGTTCATGAAGACGATGTACTCATGAGAATTGAGTGAGGATAAACATTCATATGAGTAAACACTCATATAAAATGAATGGGACACTTTGTCCATATAGTGAAACACTTCCTTACTCAAAGCTCGAGTAGCGAACGTAGCTGCTAAGAGCGAATGTAGAACTGAAACGCCCTTTTTCTGCTCGCAATTGGGTCAAGATGACCCGGACCTATACTTTCAAAAAAAAGGTGAGAGATCGTAAGTTTATCAGCCAATCATTGACGGCCTTTCAAGCAAAATCCACCAACCATAGACAAGAAAATAGAGCGTAAGTACTTACGTTCACTTAACGACTTTTGGAAGTATAGTCCCTGGTCACAAATGGGCAAAAGTTGCATCGCTATTTGAACAAAATGTCGCTATTTTTTATTAGTACAGTCACCGTAAAGCAAGTGACCCACCTGGACGCGTGGACACGCCGCACCTCCTGCCGCCCCACGGCGGGCTCCGCGCAGCTGTCCAGCTCGTGGATGCGCAGGTCCGGCGCCGCGGGACGGCCGGCAGCGGCCGACACGTCCGCTGAGTGACGGACAGTGAAGCGATCTGTTGTATAGTCGTAAAAGATGCGTCCTGTGTTTTATATGTTACGAAAGGGTGAGATACAAGCCAATAATAATAACATCGTGTAAATTTTGATCAATGTTTCACAAATATTAACAAGCTCATCCTACTAACAGTCGCATTGATAACTTGCGTCTAGTGTCCTATAATTTTACCCGAACAATTATTCATTTGTACCGTAGTAAATTTTCCAATCACTATTTAATTTATATTAATTTAAGCAGTTAATGAAAGGCATTAAGTAAACTTTTTTGTATCGATTAAATTCGTGAATATGAGGTCCTTACCGTTAAACAGGAAGGCTCCTATCGGAAGAACGTATTGTCATGTTGAATACGTGCATAATTACAAAAAGAATGCAGGATGTAAAGCAGTCGTGTGCAGATATATTTTAAACACAGAGATAGAAGTGGTGTGTTGGACTTTTTTTAACAGAGAATTCAAGTAAAAACACCGATTTGATAACAGAGCGAAAATTTATTACACCTATAAATGTATGACGATAAATGGGTATGAGCTCTCATAATCAATTGATAGGTGAATCAAATAACCAGAATTAATTAATTAAGTGGAATAAGCTCAATCTTAACTATCTTTGACCTTTAATAGGACGACGTTTAATTTGACCTTTGACGTTTAATTTAATTTTTAAACTTGTACGAACACAAAGAGAATTTTTGTGAAAAACCTTCAACTTCAATCGAAATTGAGACACCCATCAGATTTACATACTTATGGAATGAACAAGAGCCAGGAGACCGATTTGGTGTCAAAGAGAGCGTCTTTTTTATTCGGAAATGGAGGAAACCGCTTTATAAAAATATATATTTTCCAGATAAAATAGAAACAGAGATAATAAACATATGAGGCCCAATATGAGCTCGTCCAGCTAACTTTAAAATGTACCGGAGGAGTCCAAAAATTACTAGCAGCCATTTGCGCAAATCATCAGTTTAGTGATGAAAACGAGATTAAGCAAATCTACCTCAAGCCTGCGCATATTGGTAAACGTGAGTGCGTATACACGAAGACAGTAGTGGCGGACACTACAACTTTCAAATGCCAACCGCCACTATTTACCGTTCTATTTACCTCGAGTATGGGCGTATCTGGCCATGCAAGGAATATGTAACCCTTTACACGAGGCCAATATAGCGTGATGATTTGCCGCAGTTGCCAAATGAAAGTAATACAAGCCATTACACACGTACTGGTAGTGGAAGTGATGTAAAGGTCCAAACTGAAAGTAATATCCACCATACAACTGATGCTAACACGGTAATGAAAGTAATTCGAATACTCTAGTATAGATATTGGTGTAAAGCAGTCGTGTGTGCCAATTTCACTAAACAAACATGCGTGTAGGGCATTCTCGTCCTAAAATAAAATGTACTATTTTCGTGATGTCTTTCATTTTAACTGTAGACGCAGCGAGCACTTTTCACAAGATGTAAAGGAATTATTCGCAATCAGAAACTGCATCCAATAGTTCAATTTTCCAGTAGTAATTTCATATCTATACAAATGGAATGTTCCATACAGCAGTATATAGTTGCAGTAGTTGTCACACTTCATGTGGCACAGCTTAAATTAATGACCTGATTGAATCATGAATTTTCGAAAAATCACGGAAGTAAATCGAGTGTGCTTGCCAAATTTTGGAATAGTTCTAATTTCATAATATAATTAATGACATACAGTATTGTGGGATTGTGATGAGCCTCCTATAAAGATTAGTTATAAGCTCCAAATGATATTTTATCTTTTTAATGAATAAGTAAGGAAAAGACTTGATTTTCATCAAAAACCTGGGAATATCAATCCCTATAAAGTCAAGCATTATTGCGCACATCAGAACGGAAGTATTTACTCGTATCTTACGCTCATGTCTTAATGATTGTCCAAATAATTGCCTTGGCATTCCAAAACAATGCAGACAAAATTAAATTTTGGGAAAGGGCTTCATTGCTATTTTCCTACAGTACAATTTAAACCTTACTTTGTCTAATTATCTTTTTATCAAAATTTTTGCCCTCGAGACGCCCTCGTTTCGGAGGTGAGCCAGGTTTACATTTTACAACCGGTTTTTAAAAAATATTTTGGATATCTATGAAAACAGGGATTATTATAAAACGTATCCTGATTCATTGCTTCCTTCCTTCCAGCTTTCTCATAAAGCAACCTCGTGATATTCGCAAAGTAAAAATAAATGTTGTCCATAGGACTGAAGTTTAGTTAGAATTTCAGCCCAAGCGGAACAGTCAGCGGACCTTAGCTCACGAGAGATAAAAATCATAGAAGCAAACAAGCAAAGGGTCAAACCACGATATTCACGTTAAAAATAATGTTGATTAAAACTTGTTTTTAACGAAATCAACTCAATGTTTCAACATCATTTACCTTAAGAAATATGAGCAAGCCTTTGCATCAGAGCAGCTGAGCAAGGTCAGCTCAAGAGGGCGGTGAAGGAGCATGGGCAGAGTATGACTTAATTGGGATGTAGGAGCATGCCGAGACTAGGTTACTACTACTTCGTCCGCTTTATTGACACTAAAATTCGGCTCAATATTTGCGCGCACATCAAGTTCTGTGATATGCCCTGATGTAAATTATATCTCCAATAGCATACGCATCAACGATTCTGCTGGCTGAAAATCTAAATCTTGCGACAGCTCTAAAAATCTCCGACATTTTGCCAAAAATATGTCACATTTGAACATCTCAAACAAAGAACAAGGTGCAGATGTAGAAGCTGCATGCAGAAACGGACGATGTTGGTCTCATTGGCCGTCATCTGTCTTCCCAGGATGCCGTATAACTCTTGTCATTTACAAGATTGCGATTTAATGAAGAGAAATGAGAACATTCATGCAGAATGTGTGGTTCCCTCTTGAGGAGCATAAGACAAACACGCATGCAAAATTAAAATACTAACAAGCATTCTGATGAACTGAAGTTAATGCGACACCAAAATGTTAGTGTGCATCAAATTTCTTGAGATGGCCACTAAGTTTAAATGCTTGACGAAAATAAATGAAGGTGTACAATGGTTTAAAAATACCATCGCTTGGTTTGCCACAAATTCAATTACTAGCCTTTCGTACTGAAAAAGAAAAACTAACTTGATTTCTAGTTTGCGAACTAGGAGTGTATGAGGCATTAATTCGTCAAAACGATGAACAATTGCATGTTAAAAATAAAATTCCCACAGAACTCAAGCTTTTTATCGTTCCATGCAGAAATTAAAAGTTGTTCGAAGCGATGCTAAATTCTGATCGTAAATTTGGCGGAGTTTTTCAACTCACCTCAGCAGCGCCGCTCCCTTCCTTCCATCGTCAAGTGCGTAAAAAGAAGCAAATATTTATTTTTGTCACCTCACGATTGTCATGCCCTCATGCACGTCTAACAAAATCCGAAGACCTTTTTAGCGCATTTTCTCATTTATGGAAAAAATGCACTATTGTGCTCGCCATGTCCGCCTGTCTGTCTGTCCGTCGTCTGTCCGTGACCTCAAGTTTTTGTCGACGAGAAAATGCGCTCTCTGTCACTCACTGCAGTGAGTACTGAGTTATATTTTTTTCATCTGACCACGTGGCAAGTTAGTTAGAATAGCTGCGAGTTAAAGTTCCAAACAAATTTTAATAGTAACTTGAAATAATAAAACAGAGTTAAATATTCGAGACAACGTGCACTTTAAATGCGTTTAAGCACCATGATAAAACACACACTAGAAAAGTTTTCGTTCATTTGATCATCAGTCATCTGAAGGCGCACTTCGTTTTAAGAAACGTCAAGATTTATTATCCAGCAGACTATCTCGTGATCTGATTTCCCAGCATATACACTATTCTCCAATAACTTTTCAGCTTTCCGTAATAGACAGTTGTGTAGGGAAGGCTGTTTGACGAGTTCCAAGTAATAGCGACATTAATGTTCGCGCTCGCGTTCGTAAATGAGCGTCAGAGAGAGGTTGCACAGTACAGCGTGGCATAGTAATAAAATCTTGCTTCTAGAGGCCTTGTATCATACATTTAATGAATTAGATTGAAATATATAAATGTTCTACATAAAATACAAAGTATTTATCCGTCCGCGACTCCGCTCGTAATGGATCTTCCCGTTATTTTCTATGTGTACAGACGGCTACCATGCAGTGTGGGGAGACACTAGCTCTCTGCTGCTGTTCCAGTGCATGGCGGTCAGTTATAGCGGGGTGGTAACTTCCTCAGATGACGTTTTATTATAGCAATAATTTCGTATATAATGTATTGGTGAAGAATTTCCGTTGCGATATTAATGGATAATGTAGAGAAAAGATGCTTGGTCGTACTTCAGCGAACGTTGTGCAGTTAAGAGGCTTTAGGAAGAGGGACAGAGTGCACTTAGGAGGATCGTTTAGCTCAATACTTGGCAGCAGCGAAAACCGCAATGAATTTCGGACTTTTAGACTTTGAGATAATAATTCAGCAAAGCTGGCATGCTGCAGCAGGTATCATTTTGTTCAGGAGCGAGAAAACGTTCCCAAAAAGTGACGAGTGGCTAATTTAATCTTCAAAGTTGATCATCTAAGAAATAGAATTAATGCCTGTTGTCGCTGCTTCGAACCATGTACACCATAGCTACACGATACCACTTAGCTTCCACTACCGCGTCATAATCCTTGCCCCTCCAACACCACAAAAAAAATCCGACCTAAAAAATATAATTTACTATTTCGGTCCAATTTTCTCTTCCCAGTTTTTCAATATTTTGCTATTCTCTCACTTTGAATAAATTTTTATTTCCAGGTATTATCCCGGCACTATAAGTATCCTGGAGATCCGTTCGATCAGCACCTATTTATTTGCGGTGCCAAGCTGCGAACACGCGCGCACAAATCAACAATAAACAAGAAAAGAAACGTTGCCAGATATTCATATGATTGTAGGCAACCTCAGGTCACAGTCACTTGCGGGAGAATATGAAATCGATGAATTTTTCGATCGACCCCTCAGAGTGGGAGTCGATCCAAAAATTTTGGGAAAATATGGCCTACGCCTTCCAGATGAGTAGATTGACGTAGGTTAAAATAAACCCCGTCTCTCCAATAATTAAGATGTTATATTATTAGGGTCTTCAAGTCTGATATTGTGGATACGACATTGGACAAACCTCTATATATGGCGTCTCGAGACAGCAGACAACTTCATTGTTAAATTGAGGTCCGTCGTGTGAGGTACAATCGTCGTTCTCGCTCAAAAAATTTCAATCATATTAATTACCCTTGAAAAGTTTTTAAATAGAAGAAACAGAATGTGATTTAATTTTGTGCAATTAACGCATTTAAGATTATTACTCACTTGGTGATAAATGAACCGGTGATACAGTCCGTGATAGCCACAAATATTGTCGGCCAGGTATTGTTGATACGCTGGTGATGCGCCCTCCCATGCAGCCAGCAAACTAATGTATCACCGGTTCATTTATCACCGAATGAGTAACATTTCTAAATGAGTTTACTGCACAAAATTAAATCGAATCCTGCTTCTTATATCCAAAACTATTCTAGCGGGAGAATTATTATGATTGAAATTTTTTGCGCGAGAGAGACTATTGTTCCTCGCCCAATGGACGTCACATTGGCAATGAAGTTGTCTGCTGTCTCGAGACGCCATATATAGAGGTTTGTCCAATGTCGTATCCACAATACCGGACTATATAAAGTCTGGTCTCAAAATTCGTCTTCATCATCGATTTTCTTTGAAATTTCGATTGAACTAAAAATCTTTAACAACATGGCTGGTCTCCGAAGGCTCATGGAATGCTCTTCCGTGTCGGTCTAAGACATGTCGGACTGGCGAGGCTCTGGTGACCCCAGTAGCTGGGATCTGTTCTCAGTGATGGTCCGGGGTGAGTCACCAGAGCTGAGCCGAAGCGAGGCGCCGCCCCCCAAAAGGGGGAAGAGATTCACCGCATTCTTGCGGCGACTCTTTTGTGGCTGTTGCAGGCCACGCGGCGAGAGCGACGGTGGCCGGTGAATGGTAGCACCCAATTCTTGAGGAGTTGGGGCGCTGCCTTCACCTGGCTACTGCTTTGCTCTTGGGGGAAGGAGGTTAGGAGGGGGTCCTTCGGGACCTAAATAAATAAAACATCCTACCTATTGTGGAGGTTGGGTTTATTGTAACCTGCGTCCAATTATGCATCTGGAATGCGTAATCGCTACCACTTAGAGGTCCAGTAAGTAGCTGTGACCTAATGTTGCTCCTAATTGTAGATTCTTTGCCAGTTTACTGTGTATTTGTGTGCGTATGTTGACAACTTGGCGCAGCAAATATACAAGGGTTGATCGGACGCGTATCCACGATACTCATCGTGTCAGGATATTACCTGGAAATAAAAAATTTCTAAAAGTGGGAGAGTAGGAAACGATTTGAAAACTGGGAGATTAGAATAAATTTAACATTTTATTTTCAAATCGGATTTCAATGTGGTGTTAGAAACGAAATGGGACAGAGCGCGCTGGAGTGAATCCAACTTGTACCTATATCGAGAAGCAGCCACCACAGCTATAAATTCTGTATTTTTAATTAATGATCAAATTTAAAGATAACTGTAGCCACACACCACTTTTTTCGTCCCGTTATCTGATACCCGAAATTCTTACTGTCTATAATCAGTTTAATAATAAAAGCATATCCTCGATAGTTAGAAAAAAACCTTACGAACGGCGTTTTCTTTGTTCCGCGTACTTGTATAGAACACCCATTTGAACCTCGGAAATTTTTTCTCATCTAACACGACAGTTTACGCTCAATTAAATCTCAATTGTCCATTTGAAATGGAAAGCAAATTTTTCACCACACATCTTATTCGAAATCAAATAAAAACGTCCATACCAATATTAAGTTTAAACTTCGTTGCACGTCATTCGCCTCGATCGACGTTGTGGATGGACTCGTTTGCATGACACGAGAATCCTTCTGGGAACTCAATTCGTTTGTGTCGCGATGGAAGACATATTTAATGACGACTGAACGAAATTACATATTACATACAGAAAAAGCTTATAATATCATACCTTTGGTGGCCGCGTAGCCGGAACACATGCACAACATGATAGGAAACAGCGTAGGCAATGGGCACATGTAAAGGATCAAGCATGCAGAAATAAGAGTTGCAAGAAGAGGGCGCTTGCTTGTGGGAACAAATGATTTGCAATGCTAAGACAATTTGTAATTGTGTGTTTGTAATGAAAAGACAATTTGTAATAAATTGTTTCGTCAGAATAATTACGACTCTCCTCTCCTATTTCTTCCAAGTTCTGATGCGATCGTGAGAATTCAATTGAAAATGTTATTTTACAATGGAATATTGCAGTTTGTAAAATTCTTTTACAAACCGCAAGATAGATTAAGTCAGGCATCAATGCCAAAGATTGTACAATGTTATGAAACGAAATACGAGGAAGTGTAATTTCCTTGTTAATCAATAAAATGTCAGCAGAAAATGCACTATTTTCTTCAAGCGAGACAGATACTAGATATAAAATTAGTCAGACACGTACAAACACAAAAAAAAACTGGTTAACTAGTCAATCGAGAAGCAGTTGTACAAGCAGTCGAAGGTTAATTTAAAACAAACGAAAACGATTCTTACAAAATATATTTGGTTCAGCGAAGATCTATCGAGACATAGAAGCAAATGCTTAACAAGAAATACGCACGCAAGGCACAAAAGCTGTATAGCGGCCACACTATTGGCTTGAGCTCACACAGCGGCAACACACCAATTATCTACAAAACATTCAACAAAAGCAACATAAAAACATAGAAAACCAGTTCAAAGGACAATAAAAACCTAGCGGTACTTTGAGTAACGTGAAAAATAATCCATTAGAGCTTCTAAACGATCCACATTTGTCTTTTCATAGCGTCAAATGTACTAGAGTAGAAGCTATCAGATTGTAAGGCTGCCTCCAGTACAAATCAAACGGGTATGCGATAAATGAGACACATTACAGACACCAACTTCATGCTATGTAAGTATAATATGTCAACCGATATCGCAATAAAACATTCATGAGCGAGAAAAACATTGAAATATTTTATTTTAGTGCGGATTAATTAGCGTCACAAACTGACTTGAAGAAACAAAAACATAAATCATGTAACAATCACAACTCATAATTTGAATGCACTAGGCGGTAGAGAATAGATTTGGATAGATAACAGCAACAATACCTGTACGGTAAGTAGTTGTCATTTAAACACTACGACGATGAAGGCATTTAGACAAGACAATTTTAAGCAAGCGTACCGTCTTATAGTCCCGCAATCATTACTTGATCAATTTAGTTAGAAAATTTATCACATAATAAATTCAATTCCATCTGCTTCAGGGAGTAGATCGCATGTTCACTGACTACTCGTATTTCACGGCCGACTAAGCGGCTGAATTACTTAATAAATTGAATAATATTTTTTGAAAATTCATTTCAACACAGTACATTTGGCTCGGCTTCATCCATCATTTGGAACGACATGTCAACAACTGCAGTCAAGTCACTAGTGCCGTCTCGCCGACGATGTGCGAGACACCAACCCACATAGAGGGACTTTACAGGCCAGATACAGCCAACACATACCACATCACTGAAGAACATCGCATCACTGCCAAATAAATTAAAAAAAAACACTAAAACAATCATTAAAAAGGATGGAAGCATAGAAATCTTTACTGGTGGATTATGGAGCCCACCCTCGACACCAGCTCCAAGATCCAGTTCTATTGGTGGATTTCCCGCAAAAATCAAGTCATGACTAGCCTGATTCCTCAATATATTTTCAATTAAATTCAGGTACTAAATATATAAATAGGTATTTTTCATAAATTCTTCTCGCTTGTTCATCATATTCTTTGGGAAAGGGTAAAAATTAATCGAATATTTAGCCTATCACAAGCAGCAGAGAGCGAGAGACGAGTAAAGACTCGTCTTGTGAGATGCATTTAAATTGCTATTGATCACGAATTTCATGAGTTCCAACAATTTGTTCTCATTAGGATATTGTAATGAATCATTCGTTCAAATATTTAGATAATATAATCATAGAAAAATAGAATTAATTATCCTAGGTACGCATAAAGTTATGTGTGAAGCATGGCAGCAAAATACAAACAATACAGAGAGTGTCGTATAGTTCATCACGTCGACACCACACATAACAAATGAAGTCGTCGTAGATGTTACGTTGAGCTGGACAACGACTTAGAACAAATGTATTAGACGTAATCAAACATTCATCAAGCAATGCATACAAGCCATGCTAATAAGACAGTCCGGACGCTGAGTACGGACATGGAGCGTAGCCAGGCATTCAAGTATTAAGTGGAATTACCCAGTTAATCATCGCATGAAATAATAACAATAATAGGTAACACTAACCAAAGAAATGTCGATAATCAGGGCTCTCCCGGGACAGTGATTGATAGTGTAGATTATTATGACTTCCACGGATGTTATCATATTTTTCTAGATCGCACCACCCGTTCCGGGCATGAGAACAAATGTGCTGTTCATCACAGATCTAACTTTGAGATTTGGTTAACGAAAGCACACTTTACATCGCAACGGTTAAGCCAGTCGATTGTGACCAGTGGCCATACTTTCAAAAAAAGTTAAGAGATCGTAAGTTCATCTGCCAATCATTGACGGCCTTTCAAGCAAAATCCACCAATCATAGACAAGAAAATAGAGCGTAAGTACTTACGTTCACTTAGCGAGTTTTGAAAGTATGGTCCCAGTAGAAGATCTCACCGTGCGTTAGAAAAGCCTTCTAGAGTATAAAGCACAGGTAGTTCTAGAGAATAAAGTACAGCTCTAGAAAATAAAGCACAGCTTTAGAAAATAGAGCACAGCTCTAGAAAATAGAGCACAGCTCTAGAGAAGGATCTCACCAAGCTCTTCATCACGACGTGGAGTGACGTTGAGCCGTTCACTCAGCTGATTCTGAGCAAACCGTTGCTGCCCACTGCACATGTTGAAAAAAAGTTTACTTCTTTATTAATTTTTATAGTTAGATCCACACACGAGCTTTATTTTGCGGCAACGAGTACATAAAACAGTTTTTCATAAATTTCACTATTCCTAATTGGAATAATTCCCTGCCCATTGTGGATCACAATTTGGTCAGAGGTGCAATGCTAGTTATCATCGTAGGTAACGCTCAACGTAACGCAGCCCGCCATAACACAGTCGCTACACTCACGAGACCGTTCGTAACGCACCCCACAGCAGCCGGCCGTAACACAGTCGCTACACTCACGCAACCGTTCGTAACGCACCCCACAGCAGCCGGCCATAACACAGTCGCTACACTCACGAGACCGTTCGTAACGCACCCAGCAGCCCGCCATAACACAGTCGCTACACTCACGCAACCGTTCGTAACGCACCTGCTAGACTGTAGCTGTGCCTCAGCACGCGTTCGATCAGTAGATTCCTGAAGTCTCGGGTCGTTAAAATTTGTATCCTGGAATAAAAAGTAAACTTAAGTTTCATGATAAGCAGGTTTAACCTCCTGTAACTCTACAACATGTTGAATCTTTGGCAGTTTGTTACTTGTTACTGTTAATATTAATGACCGCTAAAATCGAGAAACAATTTGTAAGCAAATCAGGAGTCCTAATTTGGTCAATATGAGAGCAAAAATTATTCCGATGGAGGCTAAGCTGTGTTGTTTCGATGCAACGTTCCTACCACGTGTTCCGACACAAGTCTCAGTCAGACGCTTGGGCTAGGCAGCAGGTCTCTGTATGACACGGCTGCCTAGTAATGCCTTACTCTTGTTAGGTTCAGAAACAGAATGGTTAGCACAAATATCACGCTGGATAGCCGTAAATATCACGCTGTATAGCCGTAAATATCACGCTGTATGGCCGTAAATATCACGCCGTACAGCCGTAAATATCACGCCGTAGGCCGTATAGCCGTAAATATCACGCCGTACATCCGTAAATATCACGCTGTATAACCGTTAATATCACGCTGTTTAACCGTTAATATCACGCTGTATAGCCGTAAATATTACGCCGTATAGGCATAAATATCACGCTGTACAGTCGTAAGTTACCCGCTGCAAGTAGAGCTGCAGCTGCTGCTGTCGTTCTAGTCGGGCATCGTTGAGCTGCAGCCGTCGGTCTGCAGCAACCTGCAGCTGCAGCTCCGTCACGCTGTCCTGCTTTAACCGCACCTGCAATGTCAAATAATGTTTCTGATGCGCTGAGTAACGCGTTAGGAGATCTGTTCGTTTTGTGGATGTCAAGTAACAGGTGTGGCGACCTATCCGGCATAAAGCTCCATACATTTACTTACAAATCTTACAAAATAAAATATATATTTATCCTAGGACCGCTTTTTGCCCCACTAAATAGGTCCTGTTTTGTCAAGTAATAAGACTGAGAAAGAGAATAACATATGAATGAAATGCAAGTCAAATTATCGGCAATTATGATATTTCTAGAGGCGCTAATGGGACACAATGCAGACCTCCTCCTCGAGCTTGATGACGTTGAGCCTGGCGCTGCTGAGGGCCGAGTCGAGCACCTCGATGTGGGAGCGCTGCTCATGGAGCGTCTTCCTCTGCGCCGTCACCTCCATGTGTAGCCGCTCTTTGGCAGCCAGCAGCTCCTTGTTCTGGGCCACCAGCTGCGCCACGACCACGTCCTGACGGTTCAGCTCGCGACGAAAACATTCGTCTTTCTCACGCCCCTGACGTAAGATCTCACTGTTGTCACAGTTCTGAGGAACAGATTTCTCGTGGTCATGAGAGGCGGACGAGTTACTAACTCTGGATTGTTCACTAAAGTTGGCCGCACGTAAGGCGTCTAGTTCCTCTTTAAGGTCAATGTTGGCCCGAGTTAGCGACTGCACTTGGCTCTGTAGTTTGGTGCGTGCTAGTTTCTCGAGCTGCTCTCGTCTTGTACAGCTTTGTACGAGTGCCTCATGAGCCTCCTGCATTTTTATTATCTCTGCCTCAAACTTTTGCAGTTTGTTGACCTTACGTATCATCACTTCGAGCTCAAGTCTAAGCGCCGTGTTCTCGTGGTATAACAAATCGACTACAGTAGGCAGCTCGCTGGGCTCTAGACGCTCGCTCAGTTGCAGCTCCCGAGTCTCGGTGACGCGGGTGAGGTCAGGCTGGGAGCGCGAGAACGCAGCTTCTGAAGGAGGGGCGCTCATTTCCCGCTGCAGTTTCTTGTCGTCGGGGCATGGAATATCGCGCGATCTTCGGGTCAGGTCAGGGCCCAAGGAGAGGTCACGTCTCGAGTCGCGTTGTGCCGGGACGTTTCTTCTGTCCCGCGAGGCGTGCCCGCGTCCCAAAGAAATGTCGCGCAGGGCCTCCCTCGCCAGAAGGACCTCCTGAGCAGGGTTGTAGCTGGGATACGCAGGGGGCGGGATCCTCAGTAAATCATCAGCAGCACCCCGATGCTGACTGCTCGAGCGATTCAGGCTAAACTGCGTCGATGTTGAGGCACTGGAATACCTGTCAACAGGGACATTACATCGCTACAGTTCATTTAGACACATAACATTATTAAATTCAAACAAATTTCGTTCTACAATAGTTAAAATATATAGCCTATTACTAGCAATTTTCGCCAGAAATACAAATTTCAGTTGTGATTCTTGAAGAGAACACAACCGAAGAACCCAGGCTTCAACTGGACACCAGTTAGGAAGGTATGTACGGCCACCAAAGCGCGTCATCGCACGTCAGAGCCACAACGCAATATAGATAGTGGAGCTTCTTCCTTAACATTTTGACATATTTCCATCTTATAAGCTTTTCTCATTTGACAATTGTGACGACCTAGCAACAAGGGGCAACATGAGTTCAGGCGCACTACATAACAAAGTCGGCAGCAGGTTAGTATTCCGGATCTCAGTGACCATCACGGAGTGAGATGAAACTGTTAGTCGCTGCAATGAGTTACTGGGCAACAATAGCACCTTTTAAATTTAATGGAGTGATGGAGCATTCCTAATACTGCCTGGATATAATCAACTAATTAATTAGACGATACAAAACTAAACCATAAAATTCACAACCATAACAGACTTCCAAACGAAGCCACTAATAAATACTGTCGTTAGAAATTATTTTTTGAAGATCCTGAATATCTTCCATTTGATGATTTCCTCAATGCTTTTAATACAAAATTTTAGCTAGCAACGAGAGCCCTATAGGATGAGAAATAATTTATTACCAAGAATACACGAGGAATTGCAATGAATAATTTTAAATTTCATCATAATAGTACACACAGAAACCTAATTTCTGAAGCAAAGTCTTACCAAAGAGGAAGCGTGTAAGAATATAGTTTAATATAGAACATAAAGGTACGCATCCAACTTATATTTAAGAACATACAGTATATTCTTATTGTATTAAAGTGCAGGTACCCGCTGGTGGGGGTGACGTTCTCATGGACGCTGCCGCTGCTGGAGGAGTTACTCGCGAGCTTGGCTCGACACAGCGAACTGATGGCAGCATCGTCGTGCCGGCGTCTGTCGACGTGACGACCATCAATGTCGGAGTTGAGGAGATGTTTGAGCACCTCCGATTGGTCCAAGTCTGAATATGTGATGCTAGGGGAGTTGTTGGACTGGGCGAGGTAACCGTAGACTTTGTTTCTAGTGGCCAGGTCAGAGGAGAGTGAATGGTTGAGAGGAACTGCGCAGTCTAGTGACTGGTTGGCACTAATGGAAGTCGAGAATGATGTTAATGGGTTATAGTAAGAGCTGGGAGGTAAATGCATGGAATTCTCAGGAAGCAATGAGGAAGAGTTAATCGATGGGTAAGAAGAGTTAGAATTTAGATAAGGCAACGTGGAAGCCGAGTAAGAAGACTTTGAAAAATTTACTATTGAATGGTCTAATGGATGTGCTACGCCTCTGAGCAGCTCAGGAGATCTGTTCGTGGCATTGGCTGATTGGCTCGTGGTGTTGGCTGATTGGCTTGTGGCGTTGGCTGGCCTCGCTAATGAGCTGGAAGACGAAGAGGTTGGTGCCGTTCTCTGCGGGTCCATGAGGGCTGCACTTGCATTTCTGCCCACATGCAAATACTTTACAGCCATCTCCACATCGTTGATAGAGCACAAGGGTGTTATAAGATGAAGGTAAGAAGATAAAAAGAAGTGGGACCCATTACAACTGCCGTAAATACAGTTCCAATGCATTCTCAAGACGACATGCTTTGGGTTTAAACTCCAAATCAAACTTATATGACACTTTGGGTTTAAAGGGTTTTGAATTGTTTTCAAAAATATATATATCTACTTGCCATTCATCAATTACGGTTGCAGGTTTGCAAGACTCAACTGTTGAAAAATTGTTCATAAATAATGAGGAATGACACATGAAATGGGCTCTCAAATTTTCAGATTTGTCAAAAATACTGAAGAAGGATTTTGTGACGGAGAATAAAAAGCTTGTATTGCAAATCCCTTTTGTGCTGTGCTAATATTTTATGGATAAACTATCAAACAGAATGCGTTCTTTATTGTTCAGATTCACGAAAAAATGAGCTTAGTCATAAAGAGCTTAGGGTGTTAAGTGATGTAGGTAAAGGAGTGTGTGGAGGGATGCAGGTGAAGCAGTGTGTAGAGGGATGCAGGTGAATGAGTGTGTAGAGGGATGCAGGTGAGAGCAAGTGTGTAGAGTGATGTAGGTGAAGACCACCCACCTGGAGTGCACCATGGAACCTGTCCATTTCTGGGACCAGGGTGAGTCAGGACTCGAAGAGCCGTGTATGACCAGCGTGTTGTTGCTGCTGCTGCCGCTGCTGCAAAACAAACAAAACCTGTTTCAAATTTGAGCTACGTTTTGTGGGGGGCTGCTGAGTATAAATCTGAAATTTGCATAAAGTGGCAAAAAATAATTTGAAAATGGATAGACATACATGGAATGACCTGCCAATACTAAGTTTGTTAGAAGCAATCAACAATCTTCCAAAGAAGGTACCATCTTGGAGACAGGATTGATAAATATGAACAAACAATAATAAACAAAACCTGAAAAGTACCAGTAGTAACCTAATAAGAGCATGGCGTTGTAAGACATTTTAACTATGATAAACGACATTTTACCTAAATCTAGGAGATTAAATGATAGAGAAGAAACGGAATACGAATTTTAATGTGTGCTACTACAGTGATATGCATGCTGTGGACAAACATCTAGTGCACAAATATGTCTGAATGATCATTGTAGTGTCATACTCAGAATAGATCATCAAGTGTTACAGCAGACAACCTCTAGAAGAGAACTAAGAACTGGTCCCAGTCCGGGCAGAAGTCGTGTGAACAATTAAGCTTAGGCAAATTATGTCCCATTGACAAAAATTTCCCAGTCCAAATACAAATTGTGCCCCAGTCCCAGTGTCATATATGTCCCGGTCCCAGCAACAAAAATGTCCCAGTACCAGTGACAAATGTTTCAGGGCTCCAGATGCACAATGCAAAATGGATAACTAATAACTAAAGGAGCTGTTAATATTAGTCCTTCACCTGCACACAAAAAAAAAGAGACCTTTGAAATACTAGGCACATTCTCACTCATTCTTGTTGAGAGGCCCCGGGCTACCAGTCCTGCTGATGGAGGAGCTGTCACTGAGCACAGGCACACTTGAAGATGACGTGCTCGGAACTTTCTCCTGAACAGGCAGGTGCTCACCACCTTTTTCTGCACATGAGAAAGATATTAGTCATGAAGATTGGAAAGTATGAAGATTGGAAGCTTCATACTTTCTTAAAGATCTTGAAGTTTTATTGAATTGAATATAGTTTTGTTTATTAAATAGAAGAGCTTGCAGTTTGCAATCTACTGTGAAGAGTATATTGAGGGCATAGCCACATTTCAAAAGAGACGAGTGTTTATTAACCCATTTTCAATTTCAATATTAATAATACAAGAGCTGAGAAGAGGCCAAAATGTTCTTTGGGGCACCAGAAGAACCTTCAGTGCTCTGGTCACCTTACGCTTAAGGGGCACTACTGAAAAGGATATGGTCTCCTCCAAGATCTCCTAAAACATTTGTAGTCGCAGTTTCAGGATGGGAATTGTGGGAGAAGTTCCAGTAAGTAACAGTCAATATTCTGTGCACATTAAAAATATTTGTTGAAGATAGGGACACTTTGATAATTTGAATATAAAACACAGCCATAAGAGAGGAGTGACAAACCAGTTTCCAGTAAATTGTTTGTACTGCAGGGCTGTGACCAGGCCAGAGGTGGTATTTTGGGTGATGTGGCCCCACTGATGCAAGATTCTTCACCTTGAGGATCTTGCCTGACTACTCTCGCTTCATGATTTGGTACCTCCATCTCTCCTGCAATTGATTTAGGTTAATAAGAATTGTAGTTTGCAATCATGAATTCATAAGCATCAAATATACCTAGTGTACAAAAAAGTGATGCATACCACTACATTTTAAATATTACATTAATAGGTATACTTCTTCAAGGAAAACTGCCCCAACATATTTTATAACAGAATTTAATCAAGGCAAATTCCTTTTTTCTCAAATTGTAAAACTGAATCAGCTTGAAATTAATATACACAATTACAAGATTATACCTTGTGAAATTGTAAAATCAATCAGAGAATGCATATAATTATTCTTTGCTGTGGCTTGCATAATGTTGAGCTATTTCTCTCTATTGAAATAAAAAAATTTCAACAATTCATCTACAATGACAATATTGAATGGGAATCTCTATTTTAGAAACCAATATCTTTGTTTTATCACTATTCTCTACAATCTTCACAGAAATAAGTCAACAAACCCAGACCAAAATTTAAATGATTTGCATTGAGCTTTGAGCACTAATCTGAAAAGAAAAGATTTTAATAGACTCAAAGTCAGATTAAAATAATATAAATATATGTGCCAACTATTCAACCATCAAGAGCCTACTTCCCATCTTTTCATAAGCACACAGCTGATTCACAACAATCTGGATTGGCCAATGGGCATCATAGGGTAGTATGTTTTAATTTTATATAGATATATATAGGTACACATATATATATTTCTTATCTAGCCCAGCAGGAAAATTGGGCAGAAACCACCAACAAAAATGCTGTAAATTGGACAACACCTGAGAATCTGGATATCTGACCAGTGACCAATTTCACACATTTCAATGTCCCTTTCATAATTCATTCAGCAAAAAATAAGTAAAATAGTCTAATTTTACCTGTGGTTTTTAAAAATTGCTTGCAAAACAATAGTTTTCACATAAAATTATAGGAAATATTTGCCTGATAAAGCAGATATTTCAAATGGGCTATGAAAGTGGCAGGCTGGCCACTGTGCAGAAGGCGGAGGAATATCGCAAGATCTTTGGCTACATATCAGCAGCAAAATTTATGCCTTCAGAAGATCTTTCCAACACATTCTGAATGAAATTATTGCAGTCTAGATATTTGCCAGTCTTCAGCCAACTATTTAGAAAATAGTTGAAAATCTGAAAGACCACAACTGCACAAGCGGCGCATGCAGTAAATACTGAATAGTAACATGAACAATAATAATTCTGGAACTAAGCAACGGTTGCTAGGACTAGGATGTCAAGTTCACGATAGCTTTGTGGTCATAGCCTCAGCTGCATCACTGGATTCTGGTCACAGCCTCACAGGATTTTGCATATAAAAAATAGGTCACAGTCACATTATTAGGGCTGCTAGATTCCAGTAATAATCATGAAAATTCTGTACTAGCGGTAACTAGCCTTTAGGCTTCAGCCAGTGCCCAGCGAGCCATGAGAGAATGACTTTGCTTTGCATTTTCTTCCTTGCAATCTCTCTAATTAGACTCTATGAATTATGCAAGCATGGAAAACTTCTACAATTAGGGCCGCAACTGGAGCTATCCCACCATTTCTGGAACCATGCGAATTTGCAATTTCCGCCAGGTGCCAGATGAATTAACTCCTATCTAATTTTTAACAAAAGTGCAGGATCAAGCCACAAGATTCCAAATGTATTGAAAATTTGTCGTCCAGTTAGAGCCGCCAGATTTCTGAAACAAGCAGGAAAATTCCAATCCTGAATCCATGGTCAGGAAGTTGTGCCAGGAGCGCGGGAATTTATATTGTCATTTTAATGACCTGCGCGGTGCGCCGTACTATGTTGGTAAAAAAATGCGCCGTGCACCATACTTTTAGAAAGCTAAAATAGTTTAAATATTGACACGCGGCAAGGCAAATTACATAATCTCACTGACCGTACACACAAACGTGTAGGCTATCCGCAATTCCGCATTGTGTTGTGGTTGGATATGAGTTGCCTAGATTGCTAATGCATCAACTCAGGACTCAGGTTCTAAGAGTCAGCACAGTAATGAATATTCATTCATAGATCACAATTCAATCGGACATGAATTACAGAACTAAAGAAGGCAACATGGCTTTAGATGTGCCATCGGTGCCTTCTAATGAATGACTGGACTGGTTGTGGCAAGTAGGGTATGAACCTGTACGTCAACAGTACGATCCTGCATGTCAATGTTGGGACTACATTACCGACATCCTCCCGGCTGGCAAAATCGACACGATCACGATCAATACCTAATAACAATGCGCGTAAATGGACTATACAAATTAGGTCAATATGGCATAATTACAGAGCGTAATTATGCTACGTGATACAAAATATGAATATATATATTTGCAAGATAAGTCAATGGTCTGTCGTTTATTTTTGCTTCATTTGAGCAATTATGGTTTCCAAATCTGGGTGCGTTATGTTATGTCATGCGTACTTTGAATGTGCAAAAATTATAACTATCATGTGAAAATTGTTACATAGGTTATCACAGCACGAATCGCAATAGAGTATCAAGATTGCAGTTCTGCCACCACCCTTCATTGAATTATACCGCCTTTTTCTAAAATTCAATAATCTCTCTTCCAGCAAATTTTGCGAAATTCATTAGCTGCATAAAATACTCTCTGCTGTGGTATTCGAGTTTCGGTTGACAAGACATCCATTTGCTTGTTTGACACTAATTTTGTAAAGGTTGCTTCAGATAAATTAATCATTGCCATTCCCATGTTCCACCCTCAATTTAATGTAGCTAACAATATTGAATGGCATTCATACAAATCTGTATCTATTAGACTTTTACATTTTAAGATCTGATGGAAGCGGCAAGCGTCCCTAATAATATGAGGATGTATATAAAAACATTAATGATCTGATCTAGGAGCGGGCTTCACAAAAAAAAAAAAACATTTAAACATGGCTATAATTGAATAAAGATCATTACTTGTAGTATAATAAACATGAAGTTTCCTTATTGAAAAGTTATATTCCGTTAGTCATCAAGGTTTATATCAACTACGCGAGTCGAACTAACAATAATAAAATGTAAGAAATGTCCGGGACTCCAGGTTACTTCTGACTCTTCTGCTTGTTGGATACAGAACATACAGTAATTGTAAACTGCGGCTATTAAACATACGAAATGTAAAAATACAGTGTTCAGTGTTGCCATATGACTTTGGAGATAATTTCTTCCAAAATAAAGTTCTAGATTTCTCATTTACCAAATTTTCGTATCAAGAAAAATCATATATTATTGAAGGATAAATAAAGGCATACTGTACTGAGTATTGCATCTGTTCCTCGAAACTGCTCTTGTGCGGCGTAGAAAATTGATGGCCGGGATTGCGCGAACTGCAGAAGTCAAGATTAAAGAACCACACCACTAATCATTCATTCACTATTAAGTGCTAATTGCATAAAAAACACAGGCACCGGAAGAAATCTATCTTAATTATAAATTTTCATTTTTATTGCAATAATGAAGGTTAATTATAGAGGCGAACAACAAACATTAATAAAAATGAGAATAGCTTCAGAGGGACACATCACACTCGAATTCGAAGATCGTTCAGCGTTACTTGAAATCTACAGACAATGTTGCCATTCCATTCTGATGAAAACTGTGACCTGTGTCTAAATCAGAACTGTGTTGGACAGCTCCGCCGCCCGTGCGGCGCGCCGAGTGCTGCGCACCGTGGAATTGATGACCGTGATTTGCACGAACGCATGCGCGAAGAAAATATAAAGAACTAAAAATGCGTGGGAAATTTCACCGTTTATAAACATCTTTCTGAATGTGGTCCTGAATTTTATTATGCATTGCCAGAGTTGAAAATTAGGCAATAAATAGGCAGAAGCCCCCATTTACCAATTACCTATGAGCATAAATGCATAATGACAATATGACATAGCAGAGTTTTTTAGACTCTCCCTCACGCAGTCGCCATGGTCAGGAAGGTGCAGCGTGTACGCCGGAGGTTCGTTTTTGGATGTACGCCAGTACGCCAGGAAAGAAAGTTGCCAATATGCTTGCTAAAAACGGAAGTGTAACCCTCGCCAATGCTGCATGATCGACACAGGCACACGTACTTTACGATTGATGCCTGGCGATCATCACAAACACACGTGCTTTACGATCTATATAGCCGATGCCCAATGATCAATACTGAATTGCGCGCTCTTTACGATCAAAGAGGAAGATGCCTAATGATCAACACAAGCGCGCACGATTTACGATCGGTTTAGCCGATGCCCAATGATCAATGCTGATGCACGCTCTTTGCGATCAAAGTGGAAGATGCCTAATGATCAACACAAGCGCGCGCGATTTACGATCGGTTTAGCCGATGCCCAATGATCAATGCTGATGCACGCTCTTTGCGATCAAAGTGGAAGATGCCTAATGAACGACACAAGCGCACGCGATTTACGATCAGTTTAGCCGATGCCCAATGATCAACACTGATTTGTGCTGTTTGCAATCAAAGTGGCCGATGCCTAATGATCGACACAAGCGAATAACACAAAATATGGTAACACTAACAATATGGTATTAACAACACAACACATTGCAACACAAAATATCACTGCATGCACTAGATCGTAATAGAACGCACTAGATCGCATTAGAAGGCCCTAAATCGCCTTAAAACGCATTAGTATGCACTAAAATGTTCAAAACCAGATACGTATGTCGGGACAACGACAAGCCAGATCACCCAGATGCGGATGTACGCCAAGGCAAGCCAGAATGCCAGATGCGCCTCGCAGTGAAGTAGGTATCATGGATAGGCTACCAGCATTATCATACTTAAGAAGTTAAGAAATTGGTTTAAATCTTGAGTTTTGGGGAAATTAAAAATGAACTGATTCCAAAAAAGCTCTGGTTTGCCACTAGGTATGCCTATGAGCTACTATGACATTTGAATTGCCTACTTGAAATGTCATTATTGTTGGGCAGCCCAGAGGCCAGAATTGCACAAACGGGAAATGCCAAAACGGCAAACCAATGACACAATAATTATTGTATTTTTGTTTCTACTGCCACCAGGCTTGGATTTGTACCTATTGCCAGGCTATTGGAAGGCTCAAGTTGAACTGTTGTAGGCAGAAATTTCCAAGAAGCCCCAAGCAAGTTGGAAGCAATAGGTAGGTACCCTACCATGAGTTTTTATCAATAGCTTGAATAGAAAATGGTCACTGTTCCCGTTATCCCGATTCCCGTGTCGTTCGCCCGTATGTTCCAAAACTCCAAATTTTTGAAGACGTACCTTCTTATCCTTGGACCTTGAAAGTGAGAAATGATTGGTAATCATTAATGTATATTTGCTTGAAATTTTATAATATTCCGATATGAATATCATACATTCCCCATCTTAGTGGATATTGTCCCAGAAGGTGAAGACTAGGTATTAGTATGATGTCTCAAAGGAGAGGGGAAACCAGGTGAGTGCCGGAAGCCTAGAAATGCAGTCTAGATATTAAAACACAGACAGAGCAAAAATTCGGTTTAGTGCGGACTGAATAATTCAAATAGAAATGAAGAAAATTTAAATTTTATTAAGATTTCATATCATATCGTAGTGATGTCGGCGCTGAAGAATAGGCCTGATGTGGACTGTCACCGAATCTTGTACTTTTCGTGACTTGTTCACAGAAGATGAATACATGTCCTTTGACCGGGTCATCGAAACTGACGAGAGTTTGAAATAGCTACTAGACTTACACCGGGTTCGATATGGTGCTTGCATTTCAAGTCCGACAATTTATTTTGCATGACTTTATCTACGGTATATTCGGTTCTTGAACGCGTTCATACCAACGTCTCGGACAAATTTTCGGCCTGAATTGCGGCCGGTCAAGGGGCAAATCCCCAAATTTAGTTAACAAGAATATCTCCCAAAGTAATGAACGTAGCTCGATGAAACTTGGTACACATATTCATCAAGACCAAACAGAGTAACAATGATGTTTAGCTCGTGAAAATTTTTGGAATATTTGCTTTTGTTGTGAGTTATATAGCATATCGGGCCGAAATTTGCAGTGACCAAGAAATTTTTTCTTAAGGCTCAGAACCGAGAGGCTTCGAACAGGCTCGGCTCGTCCCTAAGCGCTTCTCAAAAAATTACAATAGACTTTACTCCACTCGTAAATGAGATGCCAATGTAGATTTTTCCATGCTTAGACAGCTATTTATTTATAAGCGGCGACCAGTAACAAAAAATGTAAACTTTGTATTAAAGAGTTTCAATGAGAGGAAATTTCAAGAACTTTGAATATTATTGTTCATCAAGTCTGTCACTTTTATACTTTTGTCGAAATGTAAACGGGTTGTCAATTTTATTCTCCATTGACTGGCATGCTCGGTATTCCTTGATCAGCCTCCTTGTTGTAAATATTATTTCTCAAAATATAGTCATGATCGAGCCTGCTGATACGCGGAGGGAAAATCCCGCATACTAGCTGCTCAAATGGAAGCGTTGTGGAAGGTATGAAGGGAAAGAGGCGTCATATATTACTCGACTGTCGGTTCACGACGGGCGGCATGGTAAAGGCGAACTCAAAGAGGGGCGAGGAATAATACGTGCCATTTTTTTATTACCTGGCCAGTGGTCGGCCTAGTCCAATTAGTTATAGCCGACCGTTGGCCATTCCTCGGCGACCTGAAAGCGACCAGTTGCCGCGAGAAAGTACATGAGTACAAAGCTCGAGGGTAGCGACTGGCCGAGCTTCGGTCAGATCAAGAATTTTACACGATGGTCGCGAAAACCTCGCTCTCAGACTTCGCTGCATTCTGACTACAAGCCTTAATACTGAACAGATTTGAACGAAACTTGGAATATACAAACCTAACCTCCCAACGGTGATGTTTAGCTCGTGACACTTTTTTTTTAAATTTTGCCTTCGTTCGCGAGTTTTTTTTCTCATTTTTCCTTCATTCATAATTTAAACAGCAATATGCACGGTTGAACCATGAACAATACGTGCCGAAATTCGCAGTGAGCAAGACTTCTAAAATACTGAATATGTTTGAACAAAACTTCGTATATGAATACTTGACCTCCCAACAGTGAGGTTTAGCTCGTGACAATTTTTTCGATTTTGCCTTCGTTCGCGAGTTTGGGAGAAACGACAGGCATTTCTCAGGCTGATTTTTAAACTTGCTTGACCCGTGGTTGAACTATATAAGGTTGACCCACGAGAAGTTCCGTCTTTCAGTTCAGCTTCCTTGTTACGTCACGTAGATCGAGAAACGTAAACAAACCCGTCATTCCCATGGGAGCACAGCCGTGCACTACCAATTTTGTGCACCAATAAGCCCTGAATCGAACGCCTTGAATCTCTCCGGATATCCACAAATCAGCCGTGCACCACTCGGCTTTGTCCTCCTCCGGCCTTGACCACCACCTGCCGTGCACCACCAGTCCGTGGATCGAATCTGACTTCCGGGCATCGTTAAATTACGTAATTTTACGTTCACCGCATCTGGATGTTAGGTTTTAGATAGCATGGTTCTGTTCCAAAATGTATCGTCCTTCGACAAGTGGCCGTTCGACCGAGGGCTGGTTCGACCCACGGCCTAGATACGGACGACTTGAAGTGTTGAAGGCTACGTTCCGGAAGGCAGGAATCATGATGGTCCATTACATCCAGGGCAGTTGTGGTCTTCGGCAGGCGACCTACTCCCATGACGGATTGGTCGACTGGTTTGATCGCATTTCGGTGATTGGTTAATGCCCGTGACGTCACTGAGATCAGTGATGTCACAGGCGAACAACGAACTACATCCGCAAAAATGAGCTTCTGATGGGTTAACCTTATACTAGTTCAACCATGCATTGACCAAGAGTCGTATACGTAAAGCCGTATAACTCGCAAACGATGGTAAAGTCGAAAAATAACGACATTATCAAGATTATCTTGCAATTGTACTTTATTTGACGCGTCCTTAACTGTATTATAAACTTTCGTGTCATCCGCATACATGGAGCACACGCTTGACACTACTTCTGGAGTTCTGGCAGATCGTTTATAGAAGCAATGAACATAAAAGGCCCAAGAATGCATCCTCTTGGCATGCGACTGCGCACTGATGCCCAGTCTGACATGGTTCCGTTAATACTGACACGTTGTCGTCCACCTGCTAGAAAATCTGATCCACTGGAGTACATTTTCATCTTTCCCAAATACTTTACGCAACAACCGCTCATGCGGAACACTATCAAATGCGTTGGCAAAATCGACCGTTGCCAGATGGTATACTTCACTACCATATTTCATAAATCTGGTATTTTCAGGTGTCTGGTATGAATGTTTTAGATCTGGTATTTAGTATATTTGCCTAAATCTGGTATTTTCTAACTTACTGCATTAAGTTCCGCCTCTGAAGTTTGAATTTCCTCCAGCGTAGGCGCGGATTATATTGAATATTGATTACCTTCAGACCGGCGCGACCAGAGGTTTCCCGCCATTTTTGGCACCGCAAGTTTACCGCTTGCTGATATAACCCCAATTTAAATGTTAACATTTAACTAAAGTGCTTAGTGCAATATAAGCACGGGAGTGATGATCCTTGATTGATTACTGATCAGTGATGATATGGCCTAGGACGAGTGAGATTGTCGAACCGATCTCTGCGACGCAAGCTCCACCATTTTTGTTTGTTGGTTTTGAATTCTAGAGTGCCACTTATTTTAATGTCAATTAAATTCTGGGGGTGCCATTCAATATTTCACTGATCTTGAATATCATCATCCATTCATGGACCTGGCTGCCTACTGCATCACTTGTCTACTTTGACCTGTCTCGAATGCATTCGTGGAGCGAGTGTTGTCACAAGTCACCTATGTGAAAAACAAGCAACGAAATAAAATTTCAACTAAGGTAGTACTAGAGTCCCTTATTCGGACCAAAAGCTATCTGCTTAGCCGCAACAAGTGATCTAACCCGAAATGTTAGATTAATGCAATATGCTGCATTATATGCATTCATGTACGAAAATAGGCAAAAGGAAGATGACCTGTTTCCGTGACTTGCTCATGTTGAGCGAAGGGTAAGCAGTGCTCCACTTTGATTAAGAAAGGAAAAAGCGTCAATGTAATCAAACACAGGAAAAGTGTCAAAATGTTCCAAACAGAGGGAAATAATAGAACGTGTTCAATTTGGCCAATAATCGTCAAGCCAGATAAATGCAGATTACATAAGATAATTTTTTTCTTTTTTCTAGCCAACGTGTCTGACGAATAGTTTCATTAAATTTGTAGGTATTCGTCTGTTTTTGAATAGAATTTTTGGTATATTTCTGGTATTTTGAGCTAGGCAATCTGGTATTCTTGCCAAGAAAAAACCTGGCAACACTAAAACAGCGTTGCCAGATGGTATATTTCTATACCAAATTGCACAAATCTGGTATTTTCAGAAGGTGTCTGGTATGAATATCTTAGATCTGGTATATTTGCCTAAATCTGGTATTATTCTGGCGTTTTCTGCTTACTGCATCAAGTTCCACCTTTGAAGTTTGAACTTCCTCCAGCGTAGGCGCGGATTATATTGATTACCTTCAGAGCGGCACGACTAGAGCTTTCCCGCCATATTTGGACCCGCAAGTTTACCGCTTGATGAAATAACCCCAATCTAATTGTTAACATTTAACAACATTGTTTAGTACAATATAAGCACGAGAGTGACGATCCTAGATTAATTACTGATCAGTGATGATCTGGCCTAGGACGAGTGAGGTTGTCGAACCGATCTCTGCGACGCAAGCTCCACCATTTTTGTTTGGTGGTTTTGATTTCTAGTGTGCCACTTGAATTCTGGGGTGCCATTCAATATTTCAGTGATCTTGAAAACCATCATCCATTCATAGAACTGCCAGCCTGCTGAATCGCTTTTCCACTTTGACCTGTCTCCAACGCATTCGTGGAGCGAATGTTTTGACAAGTCACCTATGTGAAAAACAAGCAACGAAATAAAATTTCAACTATGGTACTGGAGTCCGTTATTCGGACCAAAAGCTATCTGCTCAGCCGCAACAAGTGATCAAACCCGATATCCGATATGTTAGATGAATGCAATATGCAAGCATGTACGAAAATAAGCAAAAGCAAGATTACCTGTTTCCGTGGCTTGCTCATGTTGAGCGAAGGGGAGAAGTGCGATACTGTGGTAAAAAAAAGAAAAAGTGACAATGTAATCAAACACAGGAAAAGAAAAGTCAAAATGTTCCAAACAGAGGGAAAAAATATAACGTGTTCAATTTGGCTAATTATCATCAAGCTAAAGAAATTCACAGTACATAAGATAAATATTTTTTTCATAACCAACGTTTCTGAAGCATAATTTCATTAAATGTGGAGGTAATAGTCTGTTTATGAACAAATGAATTTCTGGTATTTTGAGCTAAGCAATCTGGTATTCTCCCCGAGAAAAAAACCTGGCAACACTGCAC